TATATTGTATCATAAAGATCCATTACTAAAAACAGTTTGAAAATAAATATCCTCAAAATAATCTCTGCAATACTTTCCTATATATTGTTAACATATAGTGCAATCTGGGTAAATATGAGCCTGTGAAAATCCTAATTGAAATTAGTATAAATTCCACATTCAGTGTCACAGGAATCTATCATTACCCGTTTCTAATGAAAAAAACTGAAATTGGCCCTTCCAATATTACATTTCTGTTCACATGAGTTATCAAATAAACTGGGTTATGCATGCCAATATAACAAATTGCATAACATTTCAGTGTTTGAAACATTGTGTCTACAGTATGCCTTGCTTAGATACTATACTGAATGCATGATGTCAAGCGAATATGTGACAGAGAAATAGGGAAATACGATGTGCAATAACAATTTGGGATGTTCAGAATCCAAAAACAAAATCTAAAAACAAAGTCATTTAAACCAACTACAACACTTGGGACAATGTTAGAATGTAAGACGTTAAAAATAAATAAAAATACTACTATACGCTGAGTTTTCTTTTGACTGGGGGATCCTCTATTTATTGGCTTGAAGGGATGCAGGCTCTGAGTGCAGAGAAGTGCTGCGCTCATCCCTGTGTGAATCCAACCCGCTCTGATTAGAGATTCAGAGTGGATGGGATAAAGCAGGCCCCAGGTGGCCCCCTCCGTTAAATAGCAGATTAAAGAGTGCACAACTAATTTCTTTAGCCTAATCTTATTAAAGGGAAAAACAGCTGTCAACTGTCACCATGTGAATACAAACAGTCTGTGGTTGCCATGCTGGTGGGATGTATGGTCACTCACACACATGCACAAACGGTACTGCATTCATCACCTACACATTTTAATATTACACTTTTATTTGACTTACATAAGAATAATTGTGAAACAACTAATGAATACAATGTTGTTAAAGCATGATTGGCCAATGTTGATCTTTGATAAAATAACAAGCAAATTATTAAATGCATGTCATTTACATCATGATATTCTGTCATCATAAAAATCAGTAAGTAGGAAGAGGGTAAACTGATCTAAGATACATTATTCTTATTGTAGAAAAACGTTTTAACGGGCTCCATCTGTACGTTTTCACCATCATCACTCGCTCACATTCAAAGCTCAAACGAGGAATTTCTTGGCCCCCTGCCCTCTGACATGATCTGACACCAGGTGCTCAGGACCCGAGGGTCTGTTGGAGACCCCTCCAGTTTAAAGCCTCATCACCTCTGAATCCCCACCCACGTAATCCTACTACCCCCAAACGCACACATAAACACACACTCACACACACACACACACACACACTGCAGCACTGAATATAGAACATGCATTGCATTTGAGAAATGGTTGGTTTGAGTCTCAGTATAGCTTATGACACCCGAGCACCGGAGCACACACACTCCAGTGCTGCGCCATCACGGCCTTTTGATTGCTCCTCCTCTCTGTAACTGCCAGTGATTAACCCTGGCATGAGAGTAGGCCAGAGAGAGTCGCTCTCCCCTCTCTGCTGACAATCCTTGTCAGTGGGTTTGAGGGGCAATTTGGCTTCTGACATGCCTTCCCCAGTCTCTTATTACTGGGGAAGTATGCTGCGCTTGACCCAGTAGTGCCAGAGTATCTGAGGTTGGTAAATTCCTTCCCCTCCCTCTTCTTCTCTCTATTCCACCTTTTTCTCTGTTTGTCATTCTTATTCCCTATACCTTCCCCTTCCTCGTTTTCCTCTTGTGCGTCTGCACTCCATCCTTCATGTTTTTCCCAACATTTCTTTCTCTTTCTGCAAGAGTTCACATCGGACAACCAGACTCCCGGCCTTAATGCCTGGGCTGCCTGTGTCTGCCTGCTTGCAAGACTGCACGGGGGCTACCAACAATGGGCATATTGTTAATCTGTCCATAAGAAAGCCTTATCTTGTTGTAGACATGGTATTAAATTTCGGAGCGGCCCCATGCGGCCAGCCGAGAGGGAGGGGGGTATGGGGGGATGGAGAGAGAGAGAGAGAGAGAGAGAGATGTGGATAATAATAATAAGCTGTGTAATCTCCTCACCTACTCTAAACAGCTTAACCTTGTCAGTGGCTGCCTGCCCAGTGGCACCCGGGCAAGGGATAGCATAGGGTTAATTTCTACTGTATGCAAACCATGCTCCAGGTGTGGGTTGTGCTGTATAAGCCAGTTCTTATGTTCGACTTATGTTAGTGACACATAACTCATATTTAAAAGCACTGATGTGATACGTTTGTTTTGCATTCATTTGTTGGCCCTAACTTGTTTTAATATGGTTGCTATTGATTATGCAAAATGTAAATGCCAGAATGTTATTAGAATACCTCAAACTATACAATTCAGGCTCTAAAACAGGCAATTATACGAATATATATACCAACAGATATCTGCATTCTGTACACTTACTGTAAAGGTTATAAAGGGTCAGGAGCTGAGAATCTGTCTGCTAAGTTGAGCTATCTTAACTCTGTATGAAGTCTGATCTGAATTCCAGAACAGATGGTTTATCTTGGTGAGAGGAAAGAGGATTAAAGGAGCTACAATTTAAATATGTTACTCTAGACAATGCCCTTATATGGCCTCAAGATGCTCATTTGGGTTTTTGTCTTAATCCTTAGTCATAAAAATTGAGTGAATGGGAAAACTGATACAATTGAAATGGTTGCAGTTAAATTTAACATAAAGCAAAAAGGTAAAAAACAAAAACCTCTTGCAGGAATTAGGGATTAGTTTACTAGGAGTTAGGACCCCAGAGTTTAAACTGGACCCCCCTGTGCTAACAGGAAATAAAAAGGTGGATCAGGAGATCAGCGCTCCACTCTTTTCATACCGAGGCACTACGATGCAGCAAAGTAAAACTGATGTGTAAAAGTATTCCAATTACATGTGACAGAAATACAGTCTGGCAGAATGACTTCATAGGAGATGCTATCGGTAGAACTTCATATTGCAGATGTAAAGTCAAATTAAGTTTGAATACATAACATAAATTACACTCAAGTCAATTGAGAAATGGCAAACCGGTCAAGTGTCAGAACTACTTCTTGAAAATGTATCTTGAAACCATTTTTCTACTTTATTTAATGCGTTGTTTTTTTATTTTCCTCTGAGTTGACGGAAACTTATGCCACTTCTAAAGTCCTCAATCTAAAAGTAAGCAACCTTTGCTGTATAGAGTTACATAGCAAATTATAAAAGAATTTGCATTGCAATCTTAGCCTGACTATGGAGACTGGTGTGACCAGTTTTACTCTAGTGCCACATTCTTCTTCAATACATTAAAAACTGCATATTTGTATCAATGTACTAGCTGTATCCTATAGACATGAAATGGATGCAATGATCAATAAATGCAATATTAACTGGACTTTTGGACAAACACAGAGATGTAATTATGTTCTCTGTAATTCCAGACTGTCTCAATTGCCCTTATGCAGCCCCACATGTATCCAGTAATAAAAGCATGCTTAACTGTATTCTGCAAATACTGTACTGTCTCAGGTGTGAATCGGCACTAAGTGTTGCTGTGGCTTTTTCTCTCAGCGTCTCCCTGGAGATGTGGTGAGTCGTGGTCTTGTACGCTGACAGGAGGTTGGTGGTGAGCCCAGATTGTGGGGACAGACTCACACACACCGACTCACAGCTCTGCTGCTCTCCAGCAGCACCTACTGGAGACTGCATGAGCCTACACACGACATACACTCAGTTTGAACAGTCGGAGAATCTGCAACACATATTGAATTATAAACATATGTTTCCTCACTTCTGCCAATCCAAATATTAGAAAGCCTGAAAGTTGATGTATGTATTCTACACTACTGAATGTTGACTTACTCTCCATAACATATGTGGGCACCTATACATACTCCTATTTCATTTGTTTTTGAATATGTGTGTCAGAATCATAATAATTAAAAGGCAAATACGTAGTATGGTAAATATATATTGTAATGTTACAAGATCGTGGATGAGACTAATGCAGGGACATAGGGAAAGAGAAGCTGCTGTTGAAGGTCTGCACAATAATGATTATTGTAAAGAGTGAATACTTGAGCTATATCAAATATTCTTCTGCATGTGTTTTTACATTCAAATCAAAAGTAACCACTGAAAACACAATAAGGTATTAAAACCCAACATAATTCTTAATATACAGGCTTTTAAGGCAATGATTCAGCTATAGCAGTTTGAGGGCCATTCCCCCATGACACATGCTTTCCTTAAAGCCCCTGTCACACTGTCCCGAAATTGACATCCGATGGACACACGATTAAGGAAATGTTCAAATTCGGCTCTGATCGTAACAACATCGGGCCATTCGTGAGGGCATCTTAAGCCATCGTATGACCGCCGAAGGAGTTTCTCAGGCTCCGGCAGCAACTTCGTGAGCGGCAACTTCGTAAGGCACTCGTGAGGGCATCTTGTCAAATCGTGTCATCTTCGTGTTATCATCGGTGCCATCGGGCATCCGCCCTCACTCTGATCGGGGCGAATGCCCGATGGCACCGATGATAACAAGATGCTCTCACGATGGCCTTACGAAGGGCAAAATTGACACACGAATTCAACACGAAAATGAACCTTCACAAGGTCCTTCGGCAATTTTTTGGCATGCCAAAGATTTTTCTACCGCTCACGAAGTTGCTGCCGGAGCCTAACAAACTCACCGGCGGTCATACGAAGGCTTAAGATGCCCTCACGAATGGCCCGATGTTGTTACGATCAGAGCTGAATTTGAACTTTTCCTCTATCGTGTGTCCATCGGGTTGTTTTATTGCACAACAAAATCATGTAAACATATTATGTAAATAACCCAATTTGTGTTCTGTGAAACTGAAAAGGATATAATATATTATTTTGAAGGAGAGTTGACAGGAAGTTGTTGTTGCTATGGAAACAACATGACGGAGAAAACTTAATATCTTCTACATATAAAGACGGAGAAAGTAAAGAACAAAGTCTGAAAATATCAGTACAGTATCATAATACTTAACATAATTGTTTGTGTTACTTTCGTTGCAGTTGTATGTCTTAAATGTAATGTAACTGTTGCCTTCGTGTGTGGTTCGGGGCCATCTTCGTGCGAAATTCACAATTCCATATTCGTGTGTCCATCGGGTGTCAATTTCGGGACAGTGTGACAGGGGCTTAAGTCAAACATATGTTCATACCGTGTGTAAATATGGCAACTACTTAGTATCTCTCTCCTTCACTACACGAATAACAGCAATACTTAGAGGTCAAATCTTCTGAGTCAGCTCAATTAAACCTGCGGGGGAGCAACATTACCAAAACAAAAATCAATCATTATCCATTTGAGGGTTATGGACAGTGAGGAAGAGAAAAAAATGATGTGTGTGAGAGAGAGAGAGTATGAATGGATGGCATCCAGAGAGATGGTGAATGCCGCTAATGTGCTGTGTGTAGGCTTGTCCTTATTTATTAGGGACATTTATGGTCAATGTCTTGGAGACGGTCCATGCACATTACATGCGTTTCTCTGCTGCCCGCTCAGGAGATGGTTATTTATGTGGACGAAAGCAGCTCCCTCTCCCTCTGAGGACCACAGTCATCACTCTCTGGGTAGAGAGAGAGCGAGGGGTGTTCAGGTTGCAGAGTTGTGGATTATTGGGTTGTTTTTAAATCACACCTGCCGGAAACTGCAGATTACAATAGAGGTGAAGTCCCTCCCTTTCCGGGGGACCTCCATGGGACCTTATTTCAGAAAAAGTATGTATTGGAGTCAATGGCGAGAGAAAGATTATCTTTCAATCCCGTTTGAATTGTGCCACAAATTACACATATGATGTTGGTTAATTTAAAAGATAATTTTGCAAGTCAAAAAAATAAAAATGTGTCGTAAAACTGTGAAGTGCTCAATTAACTACATCTCCCGTCTCGCACCAACACCAAGACGGCCGTCACGTTGGCACATTTCATTTCTTTCTTTCAGAATGAGGCGAAAAGTATTAAAAGAGGTGAAAATCATTCCAAGTCTGGGTATGTTGAGAGCTGTACATACACAAACGGGGAGTTAGTCGGCCCCGTAAGAGCCAGCATGCGGGACCGGGATTCTGGGATTTGTAGTCTTTCTAGTTGCGTATTTTTCATAGTCTTATAGTTCAACAAGTTTCGACAAATTGTGACTTTTTTGATATGGAAATTATTTTTTAAGATTGACAAACATCATATGTGTAATTCGTGGCACAATTCAAACGGGATTGAAAGATCTTTTTTCTAGTGCCATGAATTAAATAAATAAGGGAGTGAGGGCTTAGTAAATGGTCAATTATCTGTCATCCCACTCAACATCATTCTAATATTAATGAAAAATCCTCCAGGTTGCATTTTTCCAGAAGGTAACCCGATTAACAAGCCCGAGGGATCTCTTGAAAGGCAATTGTTTTCCTCCAGGTATCTCTTTTTGCCTCCGTAGCCCTTTCGGTTAATGACTTGACTTACTTAAAGGGTGCTGATCAATAAACTCCGGAGGTAAACTTGCTGAAGTTACCGTCTGCGCTGCCTGGTATCAGCACACCTTGCACCAGCAAGAAGTAAAGATACCAGACTGACAGGGCAAAATGGGTTCATCCATATGTTTCATACATGATACATACGAGTCTGACCTTGGTGATGGAGAACAAGTACATCAGTCTTGAGTGCTGTATTTTGTAAAAAAAAAAAAAGGAAGGCTTAACGGCAAGGGGAGGGGTTGTAAAAAAGAGAAGAGTCAGAAATAGACAGAACCATAAAGAAAATCTGAGACAGAAAACGTTTTTTAAACCAGCTCAAGTAAAGAGAGAGAGAACAGAGAAAGTGTGTAGTGGGTGAGTAATGTGCATGCAAAAAGAAAGATTAAGATTTTTAAAAATGATGTGTGTGAGAACGAGGTGGCTTTTGTGTCCTTCCTGTGGTCCATTACTGAAAAGCCAGGCCCAGCAGAGACAGATCCCAGTGGACCACCATGGCGGGTGTGGGTTTTTACAGCTTTTTCTAAGTGTGTGTGTGTGTGTGTGTGTGTGTGTGTGTGTGTGTGTGTGTGTGTGTGTGTGTGTGTGTGTGATGATGTCTTAAAGTTGTTGTTCCGCATTTTTATTATATTCGTGGGAAATAGTATTAATGTAACCTCATTAGCTACATTTAATGACAAATGGAATTGACTGTGTGTGTGTGTGTGTGTGTGTGTGTGTGTGTGTGTGTGTGTGTGTGTGTGTGTGTGTGTGTGTGTGTGTGTGTGTGTGCTGTTCTGGTCGGACTATCACAGCTTCAGCTCTAAGTCTATATGAGATGTTTAAGCAACGGTGATAGGATTTCTCTCTGGTGTCACAATCCTCTCTGGCTCACACTTCTCAACACTAGTGATAACACAAGAGGAGAAACCTCTCACACACTCACACATCCCCACACACACGGAGAGGTGTAGGGGAAGCCCCCTTCAGACTAAGAACAGTTCCCACTTGCTTATCTTGCACACACTCTCTTCACAGTGCTCATTTAATAAATGTGAAGAAGACTTTCAGGAAATTGTTCTAAAGAGCCAAACCAAACCCCAATAAAGACCAAATAACTCTTTGCACCAGTTTTGGGGATCATTTCCAGACTGTACAGCATTGTTGGCATGTGCATTGTTTGTCAACATACCTGCTTACAAGTATTCAAACTTCATTTAAGCGGTTTGCCGTATTTGAACTGGTCTGCAGTTTAAACTCTTGAAAATAAATAATTTGAAAAGTAGAGACGGCTCTAAAGTTTATAAGTTCAATAGGGGAAACTTTTTAAGTCGTTAATATATGTTTCAGTTACATAAAAATAATCTATTTACTGCTCTACCTATTGCACTAACATTAATATATCCGCTGTGGACAGCAACCACTCCCTCATCAAAGTGTTTTCTTGTTTTGCAACTCAAACCAATACTTTCTCCCTAATGCGTACAAAAAAATCTTACTTCATATTCCACAATCATGTAGATTATGATATTGATCCTCCCGCTCTGTAAAAGCATTATAAATATAAAGAGCATTTCTCCATTAACGGAGAGTAGGAAGCTGGCTAATGCTAATGAGCCTCAGAGTGCCCATTCCAGTCCATTAAGGGCTCTTAGCGCTGGGAAATGATTGTGTTTTCGCAGGGAGAAAAACTAACACGGCCACACGGACCCACAACTTGCACACAGGGAAGTTAATGACAAATGCTACTAATGGACTTTCTTTACGTTTGAGGGGAGAAAGAAAATGAAGATTGGAAAATGAGAAAATGTATTTGTTGCTGTAAACTTGAAATAGTCAATTCCTCCGCTGATCTAATTTAGTTTCTAATGCATGACACAGAAGGGAAGGACTTTTATGAGGATCAAAAAATTCATGCCATTACATCATGCATTTTTGAAAGTAGGAATTAGATTAACTTGATTTGTTTTGTATTGTGTGTGTAGTAATGCACTGACACATGAGCCTACATTGGACAGAGGACTTTGAATGAAGAGTGATGGGATGATGCTTTTTTGGTTGACAAAAATATTCGCAATCAACTCCAGTAAATCTTCAACCAACAAAGATATCCAAACAAAAAATAACAGCTGTAGTTTTATGAATATTTAGATTTATTAAATAAGACATAAATAAAATAGGATCTGCCCTTTGCCATCCATCAGTTGAGCTTATGTTTATATTAACATTTTTAGGCTTACATTAAAAACGATTTGGTGCACATGGCCTTTTGGGAATCGATTAAAAAAAAACTTGTACTGTTGGATGAAGATCCTCCTTTTGAAAATGTCTGATAAAGGTCAGAGCATTAAACAAAGAAACAGAGCCAACAGTGTGTAATGAATGGTGTGTGTAAGGGGGGTCAGGCTGCTTGTGCTTAATACTGAGTCTAAGGAATGCACATGGGGTTGTGTAAAAAGAGGGGACGGCTGGTGGAGGTGGAGGGGTCAGAGTGAGCTACCTGTCTACTGAATCAACAGGAGACAAATACAATGAGAACAGAAGAACCAAGGCGGAGAGAAAAGTGGGAGAGAGAACAGGCAGGAGTGAGAGCAAGCATGTGAGAAAAGGAGATGAAGTTGGTGTGTGTGTTTGTGTGTGAGAGGGAGAAATAAACGGGGGAGGCGCAGTGACTACCTGTCTGGAGAATCAAAGTTCCCCTCCGACCTGAAACGTTACTCCATCTGCATTGTTCAGTGACGGACAGAACAAGACACAGTCAAGAACAGCCAGCCAAGCCGGGGGATCGAATTATTCTCAGAGAGGAGAGATTTACCCTGAACGCCCCCCCCCGCCCTCATCTCTCCCACCCACATTCTCCTCCCTTTCTCTCTCAATCCTTCCCCTCCTCCCTCCTCTGCTACCTCTAAAACTGAAGTGAAATCTGAAGCAGAGTGATCCCCAAAACATTCCTGCTAAATCTCAAAAGCCAACGCATGCGCCCCCCTCCAAACCACACACACAAACATGCACAGAAACACATTCCAACACACACTTGTACACACGCTGAAACATGCCAATACAAAACACTGCAACTGCCACACACACACACACACACACACACACACACACACACACACACACACACACACAAGTGAGATTGAGAAGTTGAGAAGAAGCAGGTCTGTGTGTGAGCGGTAGCAGGGGGGTCTGCTCTAATCCAAGGAGTTCAGGAGGAGGAGAGGACCATTGAAAGAACAACGACATCAGTCAGAATACATTCACGGAATTATTGTTTGGGATTTTAAGAGAATGATTAAAAAATATATGGTTAAAAAAAGGAAAATAGAGACATGGATGCAAAACACAGAAACACATATTGTATGTGATTCCCCTGACCTTGCACCTTGATAAGACTTTTATTTCCTTCCTGCTCCTAGATTAACATTATTCATTTAAATATTGTTAGATTTTCCTTCTCTTAATTGTCAATAAGCAGATTGTGGTAATCAGTTAATTTTGGAGTTCAGAGATGGCCTATCATAATATACTGATCTGTGCAAATAGTCTGATAATCAGATTTCTATTTTGGCTTGCTATAATAACAAAGATAAATCGTTAAGACATCATACTGGATAAAGTTGATATCCATAAAGGTTTGTTTATTAGTTAATCGTTTATTCAGTCAATCTATATATGCTGCACTGTTTTTACCTGCTTTGACACAACATTATAAACATTATTGACGAACACATTGCTCTTTGGGCAAAGTAATATGAGATCAAGAACAATCTACAGTCTAGAATTATGAATCCAACAACTGATTAAGGATCAAACTCCTGCCCATATTTGGTTACATTTCTAAATAAATACTTACAATGACTTGAACAATAACTAAAAGTATAAGAAAACACCCTAGCAGGCTTTTATTCTGCAGCCTTGTGAGAT